CCATTATTGTTGATACCAGTGTCTTGCCGGATGGATATGCTGTGTCCTGCACAGAACACCAAAGGAGCGCTCCATGACTTGGATTGCATGTGTGCTAGCTGCATCGCTCTGCTGCTGAAATAGGCTAGCTACAGACAGAGAAATGAGAAGCCATGGCTTTGAAACACACTGAACGTCACCTTTAGAGATCAACAATGCATACTCAGGTCAGGTACAATTTGTAGAAAAATATATATCACTATGCAATCGTGGTGAACATGTTCGGCTAAAACACAAGCAACAGCACTGAGAGAGAAAAAAGCTACATTAGGTAAAAGATGCAGTTACTGGCCCTATGTCATCTGAGGCTTCTTCAATAGGTCTTTCTCCTTGCAAGTTGTGCACAGCCAGGCAATTTTCACCCACTTGCTATTTCCTTCCAGAGCACTTGATCCACAGAGGGAGTCACAAGCTCGAGAGCTCAATAAGGAATCAAAGTATTTGTGCTCGTTTCAAAGCACAAGCTTTTGAGTCTCAGATTATTGGAGTTTCATTCATAAGCTGCAGGCTTTCAGCTTTCAACATTCTCAATTATCTTGCAATTTAGTTCTATAAATGTTGAATAAGAATTATGTGTAAGAATATTACAGGTATCCACTGAAAGCAACCATGCTTGGGTTTTCAATTTGTGCACAGTAAGTGGTGCTCACGTAATCGTTTGTATTAAACAAAACCTAACCTTGCAGCCAGCCGTTAGGCAGTTTTGTGCCCTCGAAGCTCCCAAGCAGATCGCAGTCCTTCCAGATGAGGCTGCCATGCATGCTTCTACGCCACATCCGCTGAATGATAACAGGCCGAGCAGTGACATAGGCTTGCACAGTTAGGGAGAACGTGTCCTTCCTAATTTTGTACAGGTGCTCCAAGTAATGATGAGGATTTATGTGCCAGAATGTGCAACCGATGCATCACAGGACCTTAACAAACCAATCTCTGTGATCTGTGAAGAGCAAAAAACGAAATAGTTAAAAACAATCATTAAAAGCACTCACTTCTAATACTTATTTGAGGAAGCTATGACTTCGTTAAAGTGACCAAAATCTGCTATAATCATTTTGAAATAAACTGAAACCTCATGTAAAATTTACGTACCGCAATATATATGTCCTACTGATGTATAGTACTACCACAGTGGTAATCGTCTATAGAACTAATTTTCCAAAATAACATAAATTTTTTAAGTGCAATCTGGCTCCTGAAAAATAAATTCACATTATCTTTCCAACTATCAAACGTGGTCAATCGACAGGCCCAACCTCATAATGGAACAAGAGCTCACTTGTATCAAATCGCAAAAAACTTTTTATGTATTTGCTCCATAATATATGTATGTATATAACAGTAGTAGTAAATTTTTCATGCTTCAACTTACCATAGAGAAACATTACATCTGATGGGCTTAAAAACTTGCACACGTTATAGAACTGCGTGAATTATAGTACCGGTGAAATTTAGTTCTGCAAGGTGAACTCACCGATGGCAGCATTTAGTAGCCGTCGGTGTCATAAGGAACCAAGTACGGCCAACAGGCAAAGGGCATCTGCAGACTGGAAGCTGCCAATGACAGCAATGAAGGGCTGGCCAGGCGTGCACGTCCATTGATAAAGTGTAAGAACTGGCCATGACCGGCTGTTGTCAAGGCTCTAGTGCCGTGCCAAACGATGGCCACACGAACTCGGAAACTTGTAGTTAGGCGATATTGGCCTACAACTTGATCCAAAGCAAGGCACCGGTGAAATCTTTGCTTTTTTGGGGGGCTGGAGGGAAGCTTGACGTTCACCGGCTCTCGCTGCCACATAGAACTCTCAATTTGTTACCGAAGAACACTCTAGGCGCGCTTCCAAAGTAACACGATTCACAACAGAATGTAGCATCTCGCAGTTTTGGTTGATCACATCACAGCGCTAGGACTATGGTTATCACAAAAAGGAGAAGTGACGACTTAACAAACAAAAGCGCCAAGCTACCCCACCACGACTTCGCAGGGCAAGACAGTTATCAACGCTGTCTTTCAATTTTCGGTCACACGAGCACAGCTTGTTCACAAGTCTTGGAACGTCAACACAGCAACACTGTTCACAACGAACATCGTTTCACTCCCGATCAGTACATTGCTCTCAAGTAAATAGAAGCGTACGGGCTAACTAGTGGCGAAGCAAGAACCGAGCGCGTAGTTCATACGTTTCCGTACGTACTTGGGCTGCTCAAGTAACTTGTCATAACGCTGTCAATCCGAAACGTCGCACAGCACCAAACTGAGAGACTGGAAAGTCAAGCGAATGAACTGTTACCGGCACACAAACACACATTGCAGGCTTCTCGAGTGCTAGTTGCGTCGATACATCGACGCCGATCCCCGCTTGATAACCACACCGACGCACAGCCTTCGCTGCGCTTCACCGTACGCCATTGCACTGCCACAGCTTTCCGCACTGCTTACACGCACCGAAAGAGCTGCTGTAATCACAACACATCCGGTCAAACGCTGAAGTAACTCGTGCGCGAAGCGTTTGCTGAAAGTCGCACCGACCGATATGCTGTTTACGACGCCATGTTGTTTTCGACAACTGCGCAGCACATAAGATGATAAGAGAGCTCTTAGAAAGTACTTGCACTATTTTCACGGCGTGACAAAATTTTCTCTTATGTGCGAGGGGGGTGATATGTAGAACAGGACAGGCGTGCCAGATGAAAGAAGTGTTTTGGCAACGTCACGGAGTGAGCTGATGTAGAGGGTATTGCTTCACAACCAATCACAAGTTGTGCCTGTCGGCCAAGCCGCCGTCTGCTCGCGTTTGTCGTCTGCTTCGATCAGAGCATGCGACCGGGGATTCGCCTTCGCAACGCTATTATTCTCAGGTCAAGTGGTCGCTACGTCGCACAAAATGCATGTCAGTGGCTCGCTCTACCTTTGAATGATGTTCGTGCGCCAAGTTAAATGGCTGGTAATCGACGCAGGGATGAATTCAGCCAAGGTTTGCTCCAGACTCGTGAGGGTTTGCATATTTTCTGTGTCATACAAAGCTACTAGGGTCATTTCAATCCGATTGCTTGCCTCAATATCACGGTCCATATCGGTGTCTGAACAGTGAAGGTGAAGATGCATGATCTGTTTGTAGTTCCATGCGTAATCACGCGCACCCCTAATACGCTTTGGTTTACAAAGTACGCTTTGTTCCAGATCGTCCCAAAGTGTATCGACAGCTGTATTTCAGAGATCGCAACCATTGGAAAGTTAGAGCCAATGAAAGTACACTAGAGCACAAACTTTAGGAACCACTCACTGAAAACTTCCTCTCATTTTTATTTCCAATAGCGTGCAAAGAATGTGCTCCCATTAACCTTTTTGGTGGTAGTTTCCACCAATGAGGCAAGGATCTCGAGTCGCACTTTTAATTGGATGAGATGGGGCGCAACACAACAACATAACAAATAAGGTTGATCCTATGCCATGTCGCGTTCGAATGCACCGACCATTCACGTATCACATTGGTTTTCATCCAACCACAAATCTTTACATGCGTAGTTTTATGCCATTGACGCCCGACAGAATTCTTCAATTACTGCGACTTCCAACTTATTGGACGATGGTGGTTGCCAACACCATCCACTGCGTACAAGGGAATCATCACTTGCGCGTCAAGAATCTCACGCAACTCATTTTATAATCCATTCATCGTGATTTTCTATACCCTAATGTCTTCTTATGCAAACTTTGGTAAGTGTCTAGATAAGGAGATGGCCTGGACTGCTGGCAGGCATAGGCAGCAAGATAGATAGATACGTATATAGAGAGCAACGATCGAAGTGCTTTGATTTCGCGAAGAAATGACTTGAGTTCAGAAAACAGGCACTTCATATACTATAATTGACATACGAAATATGCGAAGGTTGAGGCAACCTATAAAAGTTTGACGTTGCGCCTATTTTGCGCTATTATAACTGCTTGTTTACAACGGTCATGGGAACAATTGCATTGTTTGTCGACTATATTGAATGATAAAGGTCAGTTTTAAAATGATGTACCACAATGCCTTCATTTTCTTTTATTGTTCGAGTTATTTATCACTCAGATTTTTTTTCTTACAGAAACCACGAACGTTATGGCGCCTCCCGCTATCAAAGCGCATTACCAATAAAAATGGTGATTGCACTGCCCTCGAATTGAAGGTTGGACTATTTCGAGATGCCACACAAGATAAAAAAACTACTAAGCAAATAGAGTTTATTTATTTAAAGTAATTGCTTCACGAATCCCTTACGTTATGCGGCCCAACGTGCAAAACTTTCGAGCTGGTTACGTCTTCGATTCCCCGCCTGCGTTGTTAGAGTGGCACCGCGGTAACTGTCGAGCATTAACTTGTTTGCCGGGGCCCCCTTGACTCACACCAACGCTAATTGGTCTCCTGCGTACTGCGGGAAGACGGGAACGGGTCCATGTTCCTAATTTGAACGAACGGCTCATCACCGCTAGTGTAGCAGCCGGACGCGCCGCTGCATACGCTAACACAGTCCGACAAATTGCGTCGACACCGACGAAAGCTCACTTGGTTTAGAGAACGGGGTGAGTAAAGCGAGGTTTCGAATTGAGAGGACCACGAGAGGAAAGCGCGACTTCACGAACAAGCTGCCGAATAAGCCTCTGCTGGACTGTCAAATTGGGTTAAAGATGTATGCTCGTGTCCACATACGCAAGCACATGCGGTGAATGATAGAACTTACCAAAGCTCCTGAGACATGGTTTCGTTTTATTTTTGTTGCTGTGCTGGGAGCTTTTAGGGCAAGACACGTATGGTGTAGTTCCAGCCTGTGATGGGAAACTGTCGTGCATACCAAGTACCTTCCTGACTTCTTTAGTTTTACCTGTTATTGCAAGCAGTGCAACATGAAATCTTTAAACACGTGGCTTTTCTCTTGTATTTCTTATTGACTGCCATGAAAAAACGCGTTTTTCACCTGTGCAGGACGACTGGTTAGCTCGGCGAGCCGACTTCACACCGTGGACATTTTGCTGAGGGTGCTTACAGGCGTGTTTGCACTGATGGATATCGCATAGCAACCGGCACACAAGCAGAAATGACATCGCTGGAATCAAAGTATGTACCGCTTGAACGCTTTGCGGCGGAAAACACTACCTTGTTTTTCAATCAGCTTGCTCATGTTTGAGAAGTAGTTCGGCGAAACACGTGGAGCTCAGTGAGACTAACTCATGAAGTATATTTTATCTTTGCGACTCACTCGAACTCCGATTCACGGCTCTACCTGAGTTTGAGGTAGTCTTGGTTAGCCGACTCTCGATTACGTTAGCGTTCGATTTCTTTATGTGAGCTTGGTGTCAATGGTCTTAAACACCAACACCTCAAGTAGTCGGTGCTCCAGTTGGCGCTTTTGGATCTCTTAACTTGAACAATAAGATATCAGTGGTAACAGCCGAATAAGCACTTTTTTATCGAAAGGGATGACTCACATAAAATATCTTATTTTTTTCTAAGAAATCACGAGAAAGAGTTTTTGCGGAAAAAAAAGGGGGGGGGGAGAGGAATGGTCACGATACTTTTCTTGTTGTTCGCAACTGACGCCTCTGATCGATAAATATTGAGCTAACGTATAAACAACCGTGGTTTGAAGTATGCGGGAGTCAGCGTGACTATCAACGTGAGCCTGTATATAGGTAAGGCTTCTAGTAATGCTGAAGTTGTATAAGTAGAGCCATAGATCGGCAAAAAAGTGTACAAGTAAGGCTCGCTCAAGATGAACATTTTAGACTTTGGACTCACTCGGACTCAGACTTACCAAACTTTTAATCAACCGGATCAATTCGGACTCAGACTCACTACACGTTTTCTTTACCACGCTACTCCGGACTCAATGTCACCGACATATTACTCACCCGGACTCGCTCAGACTTGGACGCAAGGCTTTATTTGAGTTTGAGTAAGTTCGGCAGAATCGACTCATGAGTGGTCCGACCTGCGATTGAAAATACCAATTTAGGACCCAGTGGAGGTGAATGAAACCATGTTTTTAATATCTCCAATTTTCACGCAAGCAGGCTACGGACAGAGGGTGCAACCAACAGAGGTTGCATCATGCAGCTCATGAAACCACGTGGTGCACCTTATTCTCATGCCCACATTCTATGAGTATCATCGTGTCTCTGTGTCGTACTTCTGTGCATCTCAATGTGATATGAGCAGCATGCGAGACCTTATATAATTCTGATTGATTGATATGAGGGGTTTAACGTCCCAAAACCACCATGTGATTATGAGAGATGCCATAGTGGAGGGTTCCGGAAATTTCGACCACCTGGGGTTCTTTAAAGTGCACCTAAGTCTGAGAACACGGGCCTATGGCATTTCCACCTCCATCGGAAAAGCAGGCGCCGCAGCCAGGATTCGATCGCATGACCTGCGGGTCAGCAGTCAAGTACCTTAGCCACTAGAGCACCACGTCGGGGCCTTGTATGATTTTAATTTATGACGATTTAATCAAAGTTGTAATTCAAGCCGAGTTAACAAAAAATTCGATGTACTAAAGTACTTTGCCGGAATCCTCAGCGCAGTATTGATGTATGCTAAGTTCCATTGGTAATTATCCGTATGCTAACCGAACAATGTTTCCTTGTTTACTGCAGACCAAAGAACCAAGTAGGACGACGGCGTGCATTTCAAAAGGTCGACTGTAGAATGACGTCCTTGCCCGGTGTGCCGTCACTAGAAAGAGAGCAGTGGTCGAAAATTCGGCCACCGCGCCCACCATGTCACCCGTCACGGACATCCATGTCCACAAGCATCAGTGCCTCCTGTTTAAGCGTGCAGATCGCGAGTGTGTGTTTGTCGGCGATGCGCGAACTTCTACGCGCGTGCATCTGCGTGTGTTTGCGTGTGTTTGTGTTAACGTGCTTGTGACTCGCTCTCTCCTCTGCAGCGACGTTGGACAGAAGCACACATTGGAAAAGTCACAGCACAGTCCGCGTCACCATCGGTTTACCCAACCTTCTATTTCCAAGTAATGCCGTTATTATTTTACTGAACATGTCGCACTCTCACGAGACTCCATGTGGCACTTCCTCAAGTTCTAGCACGTTGACTATGACCTCTCTAACGGACTATATTTGCACGACGCCTGAGAGATGTACATTTGACTCAGCGAGCACAATGCGCAGTCTTTTTTTTTGGCTAATGTGGAAGAAGGCTTTATTCACACAGAAATCCTAGTCCCCGTCACGTCACCGTCAAGTCAAAATACATAAAGGATAAATGCACTTCATACAAAACCCTGCAGTGTACGCACAGGCTGTGGAAATGAAGACGTCGAGGACAGCAAGTGTTTGCTTCTATGACTGCCTACATCGATTGCCAAAACACATTGATCAGAATTCAACATTGTATTTGACGTACAAGCTTGTGAAAGTAGATCTGTGTGAAACAGCAGATCCGTATATAACTGAGAATGTGCAAATGGTGCAGAATATACTCAAGACGTCAGCTCTAATTTTGTAAAATCGCTAAAATAAAAAGTGGATTCTATATGCTAGGATTTGTAAGGTGGGGCTCCATAATTGGCAGCCTGTTCTCGGAACGACTAGAATATCCTCTCCTGTGGCTCTAGACGGTGCCATGACGTGGACGTAATGGGACATTTGGTGACCGTGCTGTAGAGTGTAATACCATTTTTATTAGAAGGGCCGTTGGGGCTGTGAAACACAAAAATATTCATGCTTAGTTGAAGAGTTTAATGCCTACGCTAAGTGTAATAGAAGAGTTGCAGGGTAGGAGCAACGTGAAAGTATGATAACTACTACATACAGCACACAGAGAACCAAAGTTTTCGTGGTGTTAGTACTACACGTAGTTCAAAACTTATCGATATTTTGCCCCGAAGAGCGCCTGTCGCAAGTACGAAAGTGTGCTAGTTTTTTTTTCGTTTTTGATTTTCGCCTTTTTGGTAGTAACTGCCGGTTAGTAATAATTTTCTACATAAATTTCTGGTGCAGTTGCAGTGGATGGAAGTACGAAGAGTAGAACTTACGGCTCGATTTACTTACTTCTTTTAGTGTTCAGTCAAGTGTGGATTAGCTTAAAGTGAACTAAATTGCACATACGCATTCCTAATGATTTCTATAGCGAACTAAGCACATTTATCACGCAGGGGCAAATGCCAAAAAAATGCTTCTTAGAACAAAACTGAAGGAAGAAGAAGCGTAGTCCAGAAAATTACAAGCGCGTTCTTATACAACCGTATCGTCCAGTGTAGCGCAACCATAGCATTCTTTTTTCAAGACCAACGCGTTTCTGCTTTCAGAAATACAACTTCGAATGAAGTTCTATGGGCAAACGTTTGTCATTGTCCTATTTCCCCAAAAAAGCTGTATTTTGTATGTTTCCGCAAGTTTATATGTAAAAGGTTCCTCCTATGAGATGTTATAAAAGTTTGTTCCCACTGATATCATTGTGTTCTTTCTGCTTCTTGCCTAAGAAAACGCCGTATCTGCTATTGCATGAATAAAAAAAGGCGTGAGCACTTACAGCCAATCCTACTATGTTTCATCGGCTTATAGAGATATCGAGTGAGGAATTGGTAGCGAAATCGAAAAGGAAATATTTCTACAAAGAAGGTCAGTGGATAAAAGTAAACAAAAAATTGACATAGAAAAGTGGGGTTGCCCCTTTTTGAAGGACTTTTTCAAACAATAGTAGCCTTCCGAGGTCTGGGGACATCAGCAACTGTAGTTATTCAAGCATACCTTAATGGGCTCGCGGGGTAGATGGCTACAGAGAGAGATATATATCAAAACGTTCAAAAAACAAGAAAAGAGAGAGAGAGAGAGAGAGAGACAATAACAATAACAATAAGTTTCCAGCTCAGTGATTCAGACCTCGTGGTTGCTAGAACCACAAATGAGGATTAAGATTTCACGGGCCACTCTCTTAAATAACGGGAAAGTTCGAACTAGTGGGAGCGCTGTTCAGAAAGTAATCTTGGACGTGCACTTCGACGGCATTGCCGAGTATTACAGCAAGAGTTCAAGCTGCCCACTTTTCAGTCGACATAAGTTCAACAAAATATATAAATTGGTAGCCCTATGGCTAACACTTTCGAAAATTACATAGCGAAAGTCATCACTCACCAGTTATAGATTTCATAGTCTGCTTATGTTTATCATTACTGAAGTGGACTCTAATGCCGCTCACTCTACAAATTCGAGTAAATAATTTTTATTACGGGTCTCTACACGGAGTGTTTTATTGAAATTTTAGATGAATGAAAGCTATTGTCTAACAAAAAATACATTTTGTCCACACGCAAGAGTAAATTTACAGAAGCTAGATAACTGAAATAAAAAAAAAACAGGTCTGTACATGTTTCATATTCCAAATTTCATAATTGTGATGGGGAAACAACTGCACGTATGCGGTCGCCCCTTGCTTCGCGTTGATTATTTTTATTTGGTAACCCATGAAGACAAATCAGTTGCAGTATAAAAAATGAACAATGGGAAAATTCAAGTGCTCTAGCTTGCCCCATTTTTGTTTCTTTTGCATAAACTGGAGCAGCTTGAGCGAGTTAGTTGATATCCAAGGCTGAGGTTAAAGCAGGTGAAAAAAAAAGCCAGAAGCGAGCAACCCGAGGAGCGCTCATCTCTGTACTGGTTCTTCGATTATGTCATCGTTTATTTCACTTCCTGTTTTAACGTGAATTGTTACAGACTAACCCAGCTCTCAGTTCTCGCAAGATATCCAAGGTACCTGAAACCAGCACGAGAAACACGGAACCAATTAAGAGAGGCTGTGAACTAGGCTGTTTATGTATGTCGTCTCTATTTTTATGCGCCTTGTATAGAATTGTGCTGCCTGGTAAGATAGAACATCACCACCTACATTCCTGTAGAAGTATATTTGTTGTCAGGCTTGTCCATACACCGAGAACCTTTTATAGTGTATATGTGTGCACTTTGCCACACAATAGCCGCTTAACGCTAAAATGGAACTGTTGCCAGTCAACGGGCAGCAATTTTAGTACAATGCTGGTTAATACATTGTGAACATTCGCACCGGACCTGACGCGCACGCTGCGATCCCGATTAGCAGCTATTGGCATGTACATTGAGCATGATCTGACAAGAAAGGGTTGCTACGTTATACTTGCTGGGTGTAACCTCCTTGGTTTTAGAAAGGTTTAGCGAGCGTTGGGCCGCATAGCCATGAATACAGTGAACTAGTATATACCATGAACTCGAGGTGGTTAAAGGTGCGAAGTAAACCCGAAGCGCAAGCCGTAAGAAAGTGTGCATGTGCCACCTCCCGTTTAGTCCTTGAAATGTCCGCTGAATGGCGGTGCTTCTAGATGGATAATATATGATGAAAAGATGCCAGATGGTGGTACTTGGAGTGCTGAATAGATGGACGAACGGACACACAGACAGATGCATGGATGGACGCATGAACGGACGCAGGCGCGGATGCATGGACGAACGCAGGGATGGACGCACGAACAGACGCACGCATGAACGGGTGGATGGACGCATGGACGGTTACACAGACGTACGAAGGAACGGACGGAAGCAAGAACGAATAAACGGACGAATGCTTGGCCTCACTCCCCATCATTCACTCTGTGGATATGCTGCCATTTTTTTAACACATCGATGTGTGCTCCTAAGCTCTCAGCAGAGTTGTTTTGTTGCATTTGCACATGCCTGCCACGTCGACGCAAGTTTTGTGTCCTCTTAACCAGACATCCTATGAAAGGCAGAAAGCACCTGCAACACACCCACGATAATAAAACAAGAACAACAAAGAACGGTGATTTTGAAATTTTCCGGTCTTAATCAATTACGTGGAAAGTACTCCAGAATTTCATTTTACCGCAGTACAATTTTGTCATGCGAAAAATGTGTACAAAGACTAAGAAGAAGCCTATTTATTACTGGTACCAGCTCATCTCGTTCATAAGAACACAAGCACATCTTCGTCATCCATTTAACATCGCAGTTATGATTCTTGACGCCTAGAGATATTACTGACAGCTATTCAGAGCCAAAGATAAAGTTGCTGCAGTCCTAGGAAGCAATGAATGAGAACGTCATCAAGCTATATTTTGTCTAGCGCGAAGGAAGCGACTCGTAGGTCTCGTTGAACGTGGTAACACATTCTGCAAAATGATCATTTGAAAATCTGCACTGAAAAATGACGTTACATGAAAGCAAATTCATCAAGCAGAATGTTCAATGAATCCAGAGCTCGATATATTGTGTCTTTTAGCACTTCCTCATATTAACAGTAAAATGAAGTAGTGTACAAAATTGTGTACGTAGCGCGTCAAAGCATTGAACATTTGGCACACTATCGTATTCGGGTCCAGTGCGCATACCCTTCACGAAGTCTAGCCCCGCCACGGTGGTCTAGTTGCTAAGGTACTCGGCTGCTGACCCGTAGGTCGCGGGATCAAATCCCGGCTGTGGCGGCTGCATTTCCGATGGAGGCGGAAATGTTGTAGGCCCATGTACTCAGATTCGCGTGCACGTTAAAGAACCCCAGGTGGTCGAAATTTCCGGAGCCCTCCACTACGGTGTCTCTCATAATCATATAGTGATTTTGGAACGTTAAAACCCACAAATCAATCAATCATCTTCACGAAGTCTAGTTTTACCTTGCTTAGTGATGAGCACCTGTACAATGGCGCAAGAAAAGGAACGACTAAGTGCTCGTAAATCGGTCTTTTCAATCTATGCTACGACGCCTTAACTGCCAGTGCAGCTGCGTTGTGACCGCTGTGGCACAATTGTAATTTATGAAATTTATGAGAATTGGCGAGGTACCCAAGGCAGCATGCGAGCCTGCGCTGCTGCACATGTTGTTGACGTTGTTGTTAAGTATTCCTCTGTGCGTTCTAAAAGATGGTCCTTTGCAGCGTAGTCGTAGAGAGCACATGTTCTGACGCCCGTTGCAATTTCATAATGCCACGCAATATTACGTGCACTAATGACACTTTTCTCCCTTCATATTAATCATCAGCATTAAAACCTCGGTGTTACACAGCTTGTACCCCGCTCGATCACAGCTCGTACAAATGTCGTTGTAGTGTGAATTTTTTTGTGATCCCGGCCAAGGACCATTACTCTGCAGTGGAATGGGGTGCGTTTGCTGCGAACCGATTTTCGCCCTGTAACGTTTGACAGGAACGTACACCAGCGCCTAAGTAGAAAGTGGTGCCCTTCACAAGCACCGGTAGCTTGTCTGTCTGTTTTTTGTAACGAATTTGTAGCGTCGTGGAGCCGACTGACGTAGACGAGATATCGTCGCTAGTTTAATGAGCAGACGAAGACATACAGTTGGTTGGCATCTTCGGCATCTCGGTTCAGTAAGACTGAACCGAGATGCCGAAGCAGAGAAGCGGCCGTGATATCCAGCCAGCCAGAAGCACCTGAATGTTCTAAGCGCCTCGCGTCACGAGACACCGACACTCATCTTTTTTTTTCGAGCTTCCTCCCCCTTCATTCTAGACGAGTGCAAAGAAACGGGATTTCTCTCTCTTCCCTCGTCTGGCCTCCACTAGCGCTGTGCTACAGCCTTCGCGTGAGAGTTACAGATGACTTAGGTGTCGCGCTTTTTTTTTAAAAAAAAACGACAGGCTTTCTTGGGGACCTTCGACGCAAAAATTTCGGTCTGTCTGTCTGTTTGTTTGTTTGTTTGTCCGCCCTTAATGGTACCGGGCGCTTCAAACCGTATTAGCGGATACCCCAAACGGCCGACCCCATCCGCAGCGCCCACCAATCTTGCTCAAGACTCAGCGTACATACCTTTGCGATTGTAAATTAAAAATCAATTATCGCGAATATCTGAGGCCCCATAACAACACGTATATATTCTTTATGTGCGTCTTTTACTAGAAAAGGCATACATAACTTATTTTCAAGGACCGTAGCGTTTATCACGCGGCGCTCACTATGCAACGCTTGCACGAATATATAAGCGTTTCCAACGCTTTGCTAAGATGACACGGTGGTGGCACCTACCCGTTGCCTTGCGTTCTACACCTTATCACCTCTCAGACGGGCGCGCACGCCCATCTCAGGGCCGTGCGTTTCGTTTTCGAAGATAACTGATAGATAGCGCTCATGTCTCACGTGTGATTTTTGGGGTACTTCGACGCAAAAATTTTGTTTTGTCTGTCTGTATATTTGTGTGTTTGTCTGCCATAACAATGTTCCAAACTATCCCAACCGATACTCCAAACGGCCGACCACATCCGAAGCACCGACAAATATTGCTCAGGTTTCAGCGTTCATATTTGAGTGGTTGTCAGTTGAAAAGCAATCATTGCGCATATTTAATGCACCATAACAACACCTATATATTCTGTATGCATGCCTTTATACAGGATAAAGCATGCATAAGTAATTCTATAAGGACCGTAGCTTTTATCATGCTGCGCTGACAGTGC